ATAATAAAAAGCCAAATTATATTGTCATTGTGGTGGTGTCAACTCAGTCTGTTTTTCTCCTGATGGAAATACATTAGCATCAGGAAGTGATGATAAGTCTATCTGTCTATGGGATGTCAAAACAGAATAATAAAAAGCCAAATTAGATGGTCATACAAGTGGAATATTGTCAGTCTGTTTCTCTCCTGATGGAAATACATTAGCTTCTGGTAGTTATGATAAGTCTATCCGTCTATGGGATGTCAAAACAGGATAATAAAAAGCCTAATTTTATGGTCAGAATGATTGCGTCTACTCAGTTTGTTTCTCTCCTGATGGAAATACATTAGCTTCAGGTGGTTGGGATTAGTCTATACGTCTATGGGATGTCAAAACAGGATAATAAAAAACCAAATTAGATGGTCATAATTGTTATGTTAGATAAGTCTGTTTCTCTCCTGATGGAAATACATTAGCTTCTAGTGATAATACGTCTATCCGTTTATGGTATGTCAAAACAGGATAAGAAAAAGCCTAATTATATGGTCAATATGATTGCGTCAACTCAGTTTGTTTCTCTCCTGATGGAAATACATTAGCTTCTGGTAGTGTTGATAAGTCTATCCGTCTATGGGATCTCAAAACAGGATAATAAAAAGCCAAATTAGATGGTCAAAGTGATTAAGTTATGTCAGTCTGTTTCTCTCCTGATGGAAATACATTGGCATCTGGTAGTAGAGATAACTCTATCCGTCTATGGAATGTAAAGACAGGATAAGAAATTAAATCCTCTGATAAAAACTACAAAGATATTCTTGCATAATTTAAGATTCCACTCTAATAAAATTGTCCATTATAAGAAGGTAATATTATTTTTTTTTGATATTTTTAGCCTCCAATTACATCACTACACTCCTTATATCATAATAGGCTATATTTTAAGCATAAGGAGCACTAATTTTGAGAGGAGAGTTTATCAATCAATCAGGTATAGATTTAAAGACATTGTTTAAACAAAAGGGTAGTTGCTTTTTGGAAGACCTTAAGTAACAGTGATAATTATTATTCATAAAGAACATTACAACAATTATTATTTAAATTCATTCTTTATATTTTTT